CTGAGTCTGAGCAGTTTAAAAGTCCAACATAGTCCAACCATTTCTTTCTGTTTGTTGTTGTTGACGGACAGACTCTTTTGACCTATTTCCCGGGTTTCTGCTCTATGAACCGCCTCTTGACTTGTTGTGTTCATGGAGGCCATCGCTAGTAGGTTGGAGTCCATCGCTAGTAGGTTGGAGTCCATGGCTAGTAGGTTGGAGGCCATCGCTAGTAGGTTGGAGGCCATTGCTAGTAGGTTGGAGTCCATCGCTAGTAGGTTGGAGGATTTGGTACTAGGGTGGAGGCCATCGCTAGTAATTCTTTGTAGCTTCTTGTAGCGCAAGGTCCCGTGAAAGGATTGGACAAGTAGCCGCAAAAGGCATAACTGTAGCCGCGAAAGGACTGCGATAGGTTGCGAAGGGTTACTCTGCAATAGCAAAAGCCAGTTCGAATAGGTGTTCGACAGAGTTTACTTAGAAGGGCAACAAACACAATGCAAATCCGCGCAAACCATGAAAGCCCGCCCACCCTGCGCAACCTGCATCACCAAAGTCAAACACGATTCCCGTACTGCAGGAAATCTTGTACAGCTCCGCCTCAAGTAGCAGCTCAGAACTTTGAATTGAAAAAGCAATCCAACAAGAACGGCGGGAACATCTAATACTTCACAAGCGAAACCGGCAAAATTCTTGTGCCTCCCGCCTCCCGGAGCGATGCTTGGATTTTTTCTGTGTCTGAAAGCCATGTTGAAGCTTCAACTCAAGTAGCTAGGCTTCCTCAATTCTAGATGTTGCGTTGATTTTCCACAGCCAGGACCCCTGGTGAGAAGAGCGCTGAGCCAGATAGATTATCAGAGAATTCACGACGTCCATTGCAAGTTTCTGCTTGTGGCAACTAACTGCTGAAAGCAGTCATGTCTGTCGGAGAGGTCGCTGTTTTCTCTTTTCAGAAGGCTGATGTGAAAAGTCTGTGGCCTTCTACTTTTCGTTTATTGCTGCTGTCGTCAGCGGCAATGCCTAAACCTCTCGATTGGGTGATGGCACTTGCTGGATTCTGAAAGGAACGCCTGTTTGATTGACTTTGATTCATCGTGGTCGTGCTTCTGGTTGAATCGACATCTTTCAGCTAGGTTTCAAGTCTCAAGATCACGTTCTCCTGTGCGCTTTTGTCAAGCAAGCTCAACACCTGTGCCCAGCTACACAAAGCTTGGCACTTGACCATCTCGTGTCCCGAATGGGACGAGACTTCAAGGGGAGGCCGAGGCAAAGCCACACAAGTGGCAGACCTGTGGACCCCTGCGTCCAAACGGATTGAACTCCTATAGGGACGAACAGGTGGTTTGCAGGCGTAGACAGGCTTCCAGCCTCTGCTTTGAAAGACTTGCTTTGCCATACCCCCAGAGCTTGTCGAGACAAAAAGGACGGGCAAGACCTTACCTTGGTGACTGCTGGTGTCAGTTTTCAAAATGCAGCACAAGCCGAGACAGGGCCCATCCACAGACAGATGTACACGCGCGCACGCACACACACACACACACACACACACGATCACACACGATCACACATCACTCTCACATATATAATCATATAATCATATATATATATATACACAGTAATTAATCATATATATATATACACAGTATTTATATTACGATCTAGTACAATATTGTGTTGTGTCGTGCTATGCTACGTGTTGTATTCTATTGCATCATATGGTAGTTGATCTAAGGTAATCCATTGGTCTTTTGTGCATTATAGCCTCTGCAGTGAAATTCAAACCCTCTGCGAAAGACCTACGTTGGGTTCCGTGAGAAAGTCTGAGTCTTTGTGTTTCACGCTCACATCTTTGACTGAAACCCTGTAAGGCTCTCCATTAAAAACACAATCTTTGGCACCTGTGCACTCAATAAGTCACAGATAAGCAGCTCTTTGCTCCTCAGCCACCTCTCTAACCTAGTGGCTTTACAGCATCACGTTGGGGAAGCATTGCTGAGCTGTGACATGCTTTGCTTTTCGAAGACCGTTTTGGGTTTTGTCGGTTGTTCTGCTGTAGCCTTTTTAGATGCTTTCCCTGGGAGCGGGTATAGTACTGTAGACAAGAGAGAGGCAAGCAGAGATAAGAGAGAAGAGCAAAGAGCCGAGACGGGGACAAGGGGAAGGGTACAGGAAGAATACATGCTCAGATTTACCTACTTGAAACAACTACTTAATTATGTTGTTTGTTGGCCCATTCTGCAACTGACCTAGATGTGCGACAATTTTTAGATGCCAAAAGCCAAAACGGTGCCTGAATAATGAAGTATAGACATGTTGGTGAATTCGTTTTGCTGTAAAGGCTCGTTATCATTTCTGTGATCTACATGATCTTATTTTTCTCACCCTTGCGACTCAGAAGCCTCACTTGTAGCCTCCTGTATGTTTCTGCATTTTAGGCCTGTTGGGCTGACAGATTCAATCGCTACACTTCAGTGCATTGGCAGGTACAGCTCGACAGCTGATCCGTCATTTTTTCCTTCTGGGCGATTCTCGTAGCCAGACTATGCGCCAGCATGGCACCTACAAGATCCTACAAGCGCAAGGGTTTCTGCAACACATGATCTTTTAGAACTGGTAAGGGCATCATGCTAGGAGGTTCTACTTTGTATGGACATAGACATCACAAGCTTGTTTGTTTGCAGTATTCCCGGACTCACACCCATTTGTTTTCATTATTGAGCCCAGCTGCAACAACATCACTAAGCTAAACAATGGCCCTTTCTTGTTTTCCTGCTTTGTACATACTTGTCAGCTGTTTAGATTGGGTTGACCAGACATGGATTCTCCTTTCAACATGGAATGCAAGTCATTGCATGTTTGTGTCCCTTTTGCAGCCACTGTATGGCGGGGCTGGCCGAGCTACTCTCTCTCGATCTTTCGATGGAAGAGCGCGGATGCAATCGTGTGAGCGTCTAGAGATGTTTCCACTATTTTCCAGTGTCTCAGAAATGAATGAACAGTGTGACCGGTGATGGATTCATGGAACGGTTTTGTTCCTCGCAGGAATGATTGCTCCGTCTCGCATGGCTCCGAAGTCTTCCCATTCCATGCATTCATGCTTTTGGGCAAATGAGACTCCGAGGGTGCCTGTCCGAGAGGCTTTTGCCTCGGACGCTCTGAGCATTCGCCTTCTGGAAAGTCATGTCTCGGTGGGTCTCGGAAATGCCTGGAGCATTTCCTTGCGAAGGCAAGGCCAATTCTGTGTCCACTGGGGAAGGGAACCCGAGACCTGGAGGTTGTCCACACATATAATAGTCCAATTAATTATTGTTTCTACTAGCTTGTTGTTACTACTAGTAAGGCACTTGTTACTAGTAGCGATGCACTTGTTTTTAGTAGCTTCATATATGAAACATATCTTTGCCATTCGGTTTCCCCTTTCTCGCAGAGTGTGGCAAGCTTCTCCTGTGCTCCTACAGACGCGGGCCGAGGTTTTGATTCTCAACATGTTTTGGAAGTGGTGTTTCTCGAAAAACACCTTGTGCAAAGTCAGTGTAGACTCAACTCTGTTCGTCTCCTTTACCATTTCTTTGGCTTTGAGGATGGCTTGGCTTGTAGTCTTCAGAGCGCTGCAAGTGGCAATTTTGATGTCAAGGCATGCTAAGCTCGAAGAGACAGATTCCTTGGCAAATGGCGAGACCCTGTTTACTACAAAGGCCAGTGTTACGACTTGTTTGGAGCAACAGGTCTCGCCAGGATTGGCAATTTGCCTCACTGGGCCTCATGTGAGCAACTTGCTGCATCCGCATAGCTTCTCTGGTATTCGCTGGAGAAGCCGGATTTCAAACCGACAAGATTCATACCATTTTGTCAAAGCGACTCTTTGCAGAGTAGAGCCGCTTGTGAGCCTTTGCGACCACCGAAATGCAGGTTTGCCACAGGTTCACTTGCGGTCTCTGAGAGAGGGAAAATGACTCCGGTGACCGCCTCCTCGAGGCCTCTGCTCTTAAGAGTCCGTGCTGGCGGTTGGGCATGACGTGCATTTGGTTTCTCTACTTATACCTCTGGTTTGCCAAACAATTTGCTCACCATTCGCCATCTTTGTGATGGCAACCTGGCTGTGCCTACAGTGCCGTCAGTCTGAAGGGAAAGATATGTTTTGACTGAAAGACCAGATCATGCACAACCGGAGCGCACCCAAGTAGCACCCATTTTGGGCTGTCACACATTGCAAGTTACGACTTGATTCAGATTAAACAAGCCAACCAAGTAAAGGACACACTAGGAGTTCACCAAAATCTACAGCTTATATATTGTCCAGCTTCAAAGGTACTGAGCTCCGGGAACACCAAAGAGCATCTTAAGTTTCTTTTGGTCCTTTTACTAGAGCTTAAAGGGGTCACGTCTTGCTGTTCCTCCTTGTCAAAGAACAAACCTGCACAAGGCGCCTTGTGCCTTATAAGCCTTTTAAATCTATGCACATTCCTTTTTTTCCGGCCCCAGAAATAACAGTTCACTGAACAGCCCATTTTGAAACTTCTCAGTGTGTTACAGAGATGGACTTTTTTACTACATGCTCATGCATGGTAGACGCGCTGAACAAGGTTAGCCTATTTTGCCACGTGCCAGCCTGCCCAAAACACAGAGGTTTCAAAGCACACCAGTGGGTGACAGAAAGGCTGGTTATCTGTAGTCTTTGCAGGTTGAGGCCTGCAATTTCTGCGATTCTTGGCATCAACTTTTAAGACATTACCTCACTCACAAAACGTGAGCACGAGCAGAGAGGAGAAACCGGGAGGCCGCCGCCAAGGGTGGATGGCCAGCAACTCAATAGTCTCCAGATTATAGGTCCATTCTCTTTGCAAAGACAGGGGGCTCTGAGCTACTCTACAATTGTCAGACAGCCTTCAAATCACAAGCCGTTTGCCAATCTTGGCCTCAAACAGAGCAACACGATCATCTCATTTACAGGTATGCAGCTAGGTGGTTGGTTCACAATTCTAGCTTCAAATTGCAACTATTGCTTCAGATTTACTTTGGATTTAGGTGCTAGGCTTCTCTTTTTCTTTGACTGATGCAATGGCTGTGGTGCTTCTGGCAGCAGCCTTAGTTGTTGAAACCCTTGGCTGAGAGCTCTTGCCTAAGATGGAGCGCCAGCGAACTACTTGAATTTGTTGTGTCAGTGAGGAGCTCCAGTCCTTTATAATATGATATAGTCCATCCCCGGAGCAGCCTGATTTGGCTGATCCAAATGCAAGGCGCTTCCTGCTTTAGCTTTGGGGCATGCCCCAATTGGCATGAACGGCGAGAGATTTCATGGCGACGGCCGCAGACTCTGGAATGAGCAAGCTAAGGACTTGAGAGGCTTTTCCTCTTTCGAGCAAGTACAATGTATCCAGCTCTGAACATTCTTCCCAAAGTCTGTTCTGTGCGCAGGAGAGTCACATCTGGGGGGTCTGTGAGGAGTGGGACTCGAACGTAACTGGCTGCGAACTATTCTCATACAAGTGCAACCTACAATTCTCCAGGTCCTGATACGCAGCCTGGCTTGTCAACAAGCAACCAGGAAGTCTGCCTATTCCTACTGCCCATACCGGCTTGGTCCACTATCCAGCTTGCAGAAGCCAGCCATTTTCATGTTGTTCCGGCGAGAATGGTTTGAATTGTCCCTGCACATGTCGTGACTTCAATAGTGTTTTAGAGTGTTTGTGTGCCCCCTTTACTGTTGACATGTTAGACATCATGTTGTTGTCGTTGTTCTTGCTGTTGTTGTTGTTGGCGGCTGGAGAAGTTTTTCTTTTCGTGGATTCCCAGCTTTTGGTAGCTTCTCCTGTGACTCCGCAGGTATGACATGGAGATCACCTTGGGCAATCTGACGCCATCAACACCTGAGAACCCAGTTCACTTAGCATGGTGGGCACCCAGAAAGTCGCAGACGGCCTGGAATCCCCACCTGAACCTTGAAGGACTGAACGCATTGCAGGGCCTTCAAACGGATAGAAATCAATCGAATCAATCGAATCTGTTATACTCTGAGATAGAAACAGCTGATTGCGCGTGCGCTTCATTTCCATCCTTGCAGGCTGTGCGGTCTACAGGCACATGAATTCTGCCTATCCCAAGTACAGTGATGTTGACTTCAATGGAGGCAACCTCCAGGCCTCAGAGTGGTCGCTTGTACTTTGCTAAACGGCCTCTAGACTCTAGTCATTTGCATGCAGGAAAGTACACACCACGCATGACTAAAATTACTGAATGCCCACCAACATCTCTTGTCCCTGGCTGCGTTGTTCTCAATTGAGCTCAGGTGTTTGACTTCTGCATCCGCATTTCTTAAGTTGTGTGGGCTGTGAACCACCGCAAACTCATCAGCTTGTTACAGCTTGTTAGCATATTGAACATGAAAGCAGTATTGTCCAACATACAAACGCTACACAAGCTCTGTTGCAAGTTATGAACCCCCCTTGTGAGGTGGACAGCAATGGTCAGATCACTATACGCTTTCAAGCGCCAGCGACGTACTATGTGACAAGCTGGATTTCGGTGCCACACGTGCACCTCCGACTTTGCAGCAATGATGCAGCCTCAGGGGTGACCCCCATACTGAAGAACCAGTCTTTGTCTTTACAGGACGGATACAGTGAGACCGACCAAGGACACCTTCGCGCATACCACACAAGATGCCATTGTCTTCATAGTGGACGGCCCCGAACTCGTCGCTGGAGAGGTGGGAGAGGAGGGAGTGAACACGTGTGTAATGGTGCCAAGAAAGTCAACTCACTGCATTTGATATCGGTTTTACTACGCACTTGGCGAGACATGAGCTCAACCCCGCTTTCGGAGTATTGAGGCAGGTTCTCATCTGCAGATCCTGGACTACAAGAATTTCACATATGCAGAGAAGACTGGAGGACCACTCCGCAGTGTGAGCGTGGAGCTCAACAAGATGGAAGCCAATAGATTATGAATGGCTTCAGCTTCAACTGTGTTCGACTCTACAGTCCAGAGATGTTCGATCGAATTGCCAAATGTGTGCCTTTTTTTTTGCAAACAAGCATAACAAGCTCTTGTTGATTGCCTGAGGTGACCGAGACATTATTGGTGTCCTAACTTGGAGGAGGGTGCAAAGCAGACAAGTTAGCAGCATAGCTTGGCTCTTTGGTATCACATGTTTTTCATTGCTTTTCTATCTTTACGTTTGCCTTTTGCTTGGTTTGCCACACTGTGATGGACCCACGCTGGTGCAGAACGACTACGCCGACTACGTCCTCACCGTTCATAGACGAACTCGTCAACAACACAGATTGGGATGGCTTGGATACTTGTATTTAAACATGAGGTGGTAAGACTTGAACGCAAGAAAACTGCATTGAGGCACTTTTGCCCAAACGACGCTGCCCCCCAAAGTGGGCAGATTCAGAAAGTAGGCCGCTAGTAAGCTCAAGTGATCTTGAGAGGCTAGTAGTACAGGGTATTAAGCTTAAGATGCTTAAGTAGATTCTTGGGTGCCAGGATGCAGGTGAAAGCCTGAGCCTTAATGATTTGGTTCCTAGTAGCTTCTTGTTCCTAGTAGTAAGGCCAGGAGCTACTAGTAGCTTCTTGCTCCTAGTAGCGATGCCCTTTGGTCCTAGTAGCATGAGATGCACACCATGTCACACTAGAGATGCACGCCTTCATGTGTGGAGCGTCGCACCCCAGTCCTGTGGCTGTAGAATTGTCTCCATTTTGGAGGCGCAATAGTATTTCATACATAAATTTCAATGTTGTCACTATTGAATACTATTGCTTGGGCTCGAAGTTGGCTCTGACGCTTTTGGCTGGGTTTCAGCTTTATTTGGGTTTTGGTAAAAGCTGGAGGTGGTTGGAAGACTGCACAGCTACCCCAAGACAAAGCTTTATGTGGTCCTAATTTCCCAGGTGGATAAGTGACCTTTACAAGACCTAGCGACGACGACGACAACAACAACAACAAGGTACAAACAAAAACTGCAACCCCGTTACAACATATTTTCTGCCTTTGTTTTTTTCTACAAGAGGGTGGAAACAAAAACTGGCGCCCCGTCGCTGCTTTTTTTTGGACCCACCCCCCGAAAACAACCAGCCAAGAAGTACTTTTACCACAATGAGTAGTGGTTGTACTAGTGCTAGTACGGACGACGACGACGACGACTACTACTACTACTACGACGACTAAGAGCCAAATAATAAGAGGTGTGCAGGAGTAACATGAGTAGATGTTTGTTTGCCTGAATCTCACGCGAGCTGGTCAGTCTGGAAATTTTCCGTGTTTTCCTTGCTTCCCTAGACGCGTTTTTGCAAATGTTATTGGGTGTTTCCCTTGCTTCCCAACTTTGCAACAACAGCTCCGACCATTTGGTGTCTTTCCTAACGAACGAACATGAGTGCTTTTTAGCATAGCGATGTAATGTCCTTTTGTGCACATCAGGGATTTGCATCCAACAGACAAACGTTTGACAAGTGTGGATGCGTGTCTCCTGTTGAACTGCTATGCATGTACTCCTAGTTTTTGAGTTCAGGAAAGTGGAACAAATTGAGCGCCGAGGATAACACTTTGGTTGGAACATTTTGAGAAGATGGGGATTGGTTGACATGCCCTGGGGATTATCATTGTCGACTTGGCAATCCCAGCCTGGCTGAGGTGTTACATCCACCACAGATAATGTGGACAACTCCGCCGACCCATATGAGGCACTGTCACTGTCCTCGCATGCGTGTGTCAGAACAATCCAACTCACTCAGTGCATTATAGTGCATTCCCTTTCTTCAGATCCTAGCGTGGTCAGATGAGCATTTTGCCAGGATGCTTCCAACGGCGACCTTGTCGAGAACTTGGTATATAGTTTAGATCGGCAGAACCGGAGCAAAAAGCAGAACTAGTATGAACTAGTGGCTTCTTGTTACTAGTAGCACATTAGATACGAATAGCGACGCACTTGCTCCTAGTAGCAATGCACTTTGTTCTTAGGAGATTCTTGTTATATGAATCTTGAATGGAGAGCAGAGCTCATTGAACTCTTATGAATTCCCTCCTTAAGGGGGGCAACTCGTCTGGAGGCGGCAACTCCAAACTTGTTTTTCTGTTTGACAGAATGGAAGGGATGCAAGCAAGGAAGATCCTGAGATCAACCCATGCAGGTATTCCATCTGGAGACCTGTCTGTGGGGGTAGCCAGGACCCTAGAATGGATGCATGATGCAACCAAAATAAGCCGAACCTGTAAACAATTGGAACTTCTGATCCCACAGGCCTCCACAAGAACCCGCCCTTGGATTTGATGAGTGAACTGCCTTAAACCGTGAGTTGTCATACGACGCCTTTTTTGCCGAGATGATTGCTGTGGCTGTGGCAGTCTTACAGTAGCCGCGCCAGCAACTCAGGAGATTAGGTTTCAACGTGGAGACCTAAAAAAGGGTGCCGCATATACCCCTCGTGACCCACCAAAACACCCGTCCTTACGGGAGAATAGATTCTTGCGACAGTGTTTCTGGTGAGGATGCACATCAGATGGATATACATATATATATATATATAACTATGTAATTACATATTACATATATACATTCCTGAGATGCTCATAGCATGGCCTGCGCCGTTTCCGTAAGTCACCTTTCGCATGTCCAGACCAGACATTGGATGGCTAGATTTGGACAGATTCCGATAGATTATATTAGCGGGGCCATTTGACACAGGGAACTTGCACAACATACTCTGTGATGTTGAAACACACAGGTGTGTTACTTCTATTGTTGATAACTGGACTGGACCATGGAATATGTTTTTGATGTTTAATCAGGGTCGGATTGAAGCGGTGATGTTTAGGAACATGCTCAGCGTGATGAAGAGTTTCCTTTGAGCTATTCTCCTATTAGTTAAGTTTCCCTAAAGATCTAGGAACCAAATCATTAGTGCGAGCGCTTCTTCAAGGAAGCTTCCCCTGCCCCCCTGTGGGAGTTTCCTTGAAGAAGCGCGCGCTATCCTGCGTCCTGTCAGTAGTAGCTACTTGTTAGCTACTAGCTATCCAGCTACTAGCTGCCTACCCCCTGGGCTTAAAAGAAGGATCTATTCACGTCGCTTCTCGACGGTAACCGCCCGCACCGCATGGGAGGGCTCAAAGACTGCAGTCATGCTCCAGGAACGGGTCAAGGTAGGTACTTCCATTGAACATAGCCCCAGAAGTCACCCCCCCCCAACGTGGCTGAACATAGCTTCCATATTGCCTAACATAGCGCTAGAATGTGGGAACGTCGCAAATTGGTGTATCTTTTCCGCAGGTAGCTCAAGACGTTCACCGGATATTTGGCTCAACAGGAGCAGAGATAAGGAACGGTAACATTTTCTAACGAGGGCTCAAAAGGGACTGGGATAAAGTAAAGATATTGCCTAACATAGCTCTAAAAGTCACTATCTAAAGGACATGTCTGCGAGATAGGGACGTGAACGTCGTAAACATAGCCCAACGAGGGCTCAAAAGGGACCGGAACAAAGCCCCCCCTAACGTGACCAAACATAGCTTTTTCCAGGAACTGTAAGATTTTCTCACGAGCATAGCTTGCATATGGTCGAACATAGCCCCAGGAGTCACTATCTCAAGCATCTTCCTCGAGATAGGGACTTGAACGAGGGCTCAAAATGGACTGGAATAAATTCCAGATTGCCTAATATAGCCCCAGAACAGGTGCCGTTGGTAGAGTTCGTTGGAGTCAGAGTGCTTTTTCAAGTAATCGTGGTTGTCGGGTTAAAGACTGCAGCCATTTTGCGGGTCGGGTAAGTGGTTAGAGAGCTTCCGGAAGTGACACGATCTGGAACGTCCACTTGTGCTCTTGGAGCCAAGGGAGTCAGTAGATTATAAGATGTTCGGACACATGCAATGGAAACAGCGTTGGATAGTGTAAGGTTGATCTCGGTAGAAGCTGGATACGAAATAGGTGTAGGTTGTAGAGTTCGTTTTAGTCACAGTGCTTCTTCAAGCAATCTTGTGCTCAAAGACTGCAGCCATGTTGGAATGGGTCTCATCAGGGCAGGGGATGATGCTGCAGATCGGGTTAAGGTTCTGTATTCGGTAGACAGAGTGCCTTTTCAAGCAGTCGTGGCTGTTGAAGGGCCGCCACCACTGCCGGACGTATCACGATCGGGAATGGGTTCTTGTGCTCTTGGAGCCAAGGAATGCAGTATGAGACGAACATGGCAGACGATATCATGTTAGAATACATGCAATGGAAACAGCGTGGGATGGTTGATCATGGCAGGGTTCGTTTTAGTCACAGTGCCTTTTCAAACAATCTTGGCCTCAAAGACTGCAGCCATTTTGGTATGGGTGTCATCAAGGCAGGGGCTGACGCTGCAGATTGGGTCAATGGTCTGTAG